TGTTTGGCATCTTACTAACTCCACAGCGCTGAACACCCAAAGCTGAGCTTTCCACATATCAGAGAGTTCCAGAGGAGCCTAAATTACAAATGGCTGAAGACAGACATTGGCAAGTGGGCACAGGGAGGCTGGGTGACAGTGTGGCCTTCCAGCGGCCCGAGGGTGCTGTTCCCCGACAGGGACAGCTGGGTGTGCTCTGCCAGATCACCCTCGGAGGGCCGATCATGGACATCAAGGCACCATGCTTGTTAACCCTCCACCAGTAATCAATCAGTGGAGATCCCTTAGAGCCACAGAACCCATACTTGGTTGATTTCTCAAGTATGATCTCTATTCCTGAGGAAAAATGGGAGGGATGAAGCTCCAAAGGCAAAACGTGAAGACTTGCCCACCATGGTTTGAGGTTTTCTCTCTTAAACTGCCCATAGCACTGCATGGATCTGCTCTCCTGGAGCCCCCAGCATTTCCTTGTTTGCTTTAAGCAAGAGCCCTGCCACCGGCGATTCTGAGATGGCTGATTTCCTTTTTGATGTTTAAGTTTTGAAATCTGTGCTCATTTGATACCGGAATGTTTTGCTTCAGTCTCCCTTAAACAAAAGGACACACAACCACTACTGCCCCTCCCTCTCAAAGGGTCATTGGATTTCATGCACCAGTAAAATATCCAAAAATATCTTAAGTACCAACATACAGTGGCCAGCTTTTCATTTTTCCAAGTGAGGATGTCAGGAAACAACAACAGAAAAAACCTATCATTTGCCATCATCTTTAATTAAAAAGAACATTTTACCACCAAAAAAAAGAGAAAAGACATAATCTCCAATTGAAAAACACTCTTTAAATGGGAAGAAATAACATTGTAAAAACCTCAGGAAACTGTATTTACTTTCTTTATTTTATGGCAGACCAGTAAAAACTGTCAGAATGTTCCCTTTCGTGGGCAGGCCCTGGAGCCTTCGTTGTGAGCTATTGGGGGTGTCTTTTGGGGGACTGGAGAGAGAGGACAGGAGCCCATGTGCCAATCCCGTAATGTATACACTCGGCTCAGAACATAATGCTTAAACGCTTTAGTGAGGAAGTTAGGTAGTTCTTCACATCTTGCTGAGACTTGTGAAAACAAAATGAGAGAGGACGCAGGTGAAGCTGGTGAGAGCCGGTTCAAAACCTCCAAAAACCTGAAACTTGTTGGAGGATCTGCCTCAGCAGTCTGGGCCTCTGTGCACTCTCCTAAATCATTATTCCAGAAGGGTTATCTTCCCTTCTGGGCTTTTTCCACCGACTCGTCTGGCTAGTTTAGAAGCCTTTTATAACTTTTATTTACCATGATATTACACATATATATAAAATGCCATTTCCACAGTTTTCTCTCAATCACTCATTTCCCATGAGCTGTTCATTGTGCCAACCAAAGTTTGCCAACCCTGGTCCTCCTTGAGGACCTAATTCCCTGCTTGGCGAGGGGCTTCCATGGGTGTGAGAAGCCACCACTGGGCAGAGCTGCCTCTGTGCAGGGCCCAGGCTGTTCGTCTCTGTGCCCCCAGCACCCAGTGTGACCAAGGCAAGGTGCTCACTAAATGTTTGCGGAATGTATTAGCAAGTGAGACAGAACTAGAATTAAGTGAGGCACAGAGGCTGAGCTTGCAGGGTTTGGGGTCTTGGGTTTCTAGAGAATGAAAGATCTTATTGTTAAGTCAAGGCTGGGCCATCCTCGGGGCTCTGCAAGGGAAGGATGGAAGCTAGACTGTTCTCTAAAGGTTGTCTTCGGAGCAAGGACCGCCTACTCAGAGTTAGAAGCTGCATGACCTTCCTCTCACCCATGCCGGCAGAGAGTGTGGGTCCACGTGGGAAACTGCTCGGGCCTTCCCTTTTTGCACCCTCAGTGTTCACTGGCCCTGGCTTGGCTGCTGGGCTGGCCCCAGCTGACCGTGCTTCTGGTGGGAGTGGTGACAGGGGCCTGGCAGGTGGGCAAGTGGGGGCTGTGTCTGCTTGGGCGGATGGAGTGGTAGCCAGGTGACAGGCCAAAATCCTGCCATTGTGGCAGCTTGTGTTTGAGGACACACTCTGGGTTACAATTCTCTGACATGATCTGCTTACCTAGAGGCCCGGGGCCTGATGGGAAGGAGTGCCCAGGCACTGAGCAAAATGTTCTGGCCTTGGGATCCAACTCATGGTTGGAATGTTGCAGTGAGACCTATTATTTTTCCACTCTCTACTGATTTGGCAGGCTGGCTTGGGTGCCATTGGTGAGCATCATGCCCAATCTACTCATCCTTTGTGTCTCTGGCCAACACCACCTCCTCCAGGAAGCCTTCCCTGACTTTCCCTACTCCCTGCCTCAGCCTGGGTTTGAGACACTGACTAACAGTGCTTGTCTTATGGCCTCTGTGTCCTGCTTTCCATGTCAGATGGTGTGCTAGAGACTCTGTCACAAGCCTCACACCTAGCGAGTGCTCTATGAATATTCATTGAATATACCAATGAGCTGGTATACATCCTCCCTCATTATCTAAAACTTACTGTGTGGGCTTTGGAGGGGTATGGAGTTCTGGGGTCTCCATCACCAGGGCCAACCTGGGATGTGCAGCTTCCTAGGGAAGTACTCCCAAGGGCATGTTTGGTGGCTGACTTGAAGCCAACAGATCCCTTTTGTTTCATCATCAGTGTTGGACCAAGGCTCAGAGGTAGTAGGGAGGAATAAGAGCCATACCCGCCCTGCTGGGAGTCAGTAGGGTGGAAAGAGCCTGGACTTTTCAGCCAAACAGGTCTAGATCTGAATCATAGCTCTACCATTAACTAGCTGGGTGACCTCAGGCAAGTCTCTTAATCTCTCTGAGCTTCAGAGACATTATCTGTAAAATGGGAACCATAATCACACCTGCTGCATGGGATTGTTGTAAGGATTAAATGAGATGATATAGACAAAGCACAGTGCCGGGCATATTGTCAGCATTCACTGGACAGCAGCTGCCATAATAAAAAGCAATAATTGTGTTACTGTTAGGCATATGTTAGGCGCTAAAGATACAAAGAGGTTTCAGGGACAATCACTACACTTGAAGGCGCTGACCTTATGAGTGGGGAAAATGTGACACATATATAGAAAAACTAATGGTGGCACGCAGGGCATGCCCAGTGATTGGTGTACACAGTAAGTGCTTTGCCTGTTGTTTAGAAGAGGGAGCAATTGCCAAGAGGTGGATTGTCAGGGAAGAGGAGCTGGTTCTTGAGGGAACAGTAGGACGCAGGGAAGTGAAGAGGATGGGGAAAGAATCCAGGAAGGGGCCACAGCTCGTGCAAAGGCACAGAGCAGAGAGAGCAGAGGCTACCTTGGGGCCACAGCCAGCAGGCCAGTTTGGCCGGAGCAGGTTGACATAGAGCAATGCTACAGAAGGATCGGACTGGGGAGGGTCTTCAGTGCTATGGACTTGAGTCCTGAAGACACCAGGAGCCACCGAAGGTCTCAGAGGGAGGTGACATGAGCCAGGTGGAATTTCGGAGACATTTATCCAGACTGGCCTTGGTTTGGTTTCTAGTACTGGTCTCAGAAAGGAGAGTTCGGGTCAGGAAACCCCGGGCGCCTGGTCTGGGCAGTAGGGCCCAGGAGTTTCACAAGTGCACTTATAACAACCAAGGTGACAGATCTGTGTGTCTGCCTCCGCTTCCTCGCTGGCCTTGCCTACTCTGCCGCCAAGCCCCAGCCTCCCGGGATCTCTTGTGGCTCCTTGAGCACACCACGTTCCTTGCAGCCTGCAGAGCTTTGCCCTAGCCTAGCCCTCTGCCGGGGAGCCTGCCTGGGCCTTCCCTGGTGCACCTCCCATCTCACTCTTCAGAGAGGTGCCCTGCCCACCCCGTCTGGATCTCCTGGTCGGGCCTGGAACACTGCATCGCCCTGGTTAATTGTCTTCACAGCCGCTGATACTGCTGACACCGCAACACGCTGTTGTTTTCTTGCTTCTTGCTGGCCTCCCTTATGTGACTGCAAGCCCCACCCGGGGAAAGAACTTGGTCCCCGGTGCCTAGCATTTGGTAGGGCTCAGCAACTATCTGTTAGTGAATGAGTGACAGATGGATGAGCCAGACCATGCTCTCCTGGGCTCACACATGCTCGTCAGGGGAGGCCCCAGCGTGGGCGGCAGGGCTCCACATCCCCACGTGTGCTTCTGCACGTGACTCTCCCTGGGCCACAGATCGTTGGTTGTGGCTCTGGACTTTGCAAGGTGATGAAGGGCTGTGGGGAGAGAGTTGGCCTGGCAGGCTGGTGGCTGCTGTGTGGTGCTGAGTGGAAGGAAGGGGCCCAGTTTCAGCCCCACCTTGCCCCAGGCTGGAGCCAGCCCCCAGTCAGGGTCCCACCTTGTTCAGCAGGGTGGAGATTGAGAGCAGATGCTGTTAGCTTGGGAAGGAGAGGAGAGACTCTGTCAAGCCTTTGAGAGACCCTGAGAGCCCCTCCGCCTCAACTGCCCCCTCATGTGTCTCATGAGGAAACTGAGGCTCGGTGAAGTCAAGATCACACAGCCTGTGAGTGACAGAAAGCACCCCAACAGCTCAACCCCCCTGACTTTCAGGCCACTGCTGAGCCCTTTCCTGTAAAGGGGACTGATTGATTCATTCGCTCAGTATCTGTCGAGAATCTGCTCTGTGACAGTGTCTAAGTTCTGGGGCTACCGTCTGCCCGCATGGGGCTTCCATGCTGGAAGGAGTGAACATTTAATTATAAAATTCAATGTCGGGCAGTGCCCTTCCCCTTCAGGGTGTTCAGTGGGAAGTAGTGGCCTGAGCCTGCTGCACGGCTCTGGTCATGCAATCTTTGATGGGCTGTGAACAGATCAAAGGCAACTCATCCCCGAGTCTGTGGCGGAGGGGAGAGAGGTGGGCCAGGGAGCCCTCTGAGGCCAGGAGTGTGGCTCCCTGCGGATGGGGGCTGCAGCACGCAGTCCTCTCCCTCAGTGGGAGGCTCCCCAGGGCCCCGGCGGCTGCCGTCATCTCTCTCCTTGTCTCCCCAGCTGTGTGCCAGCCACCATGCCAGAACCGTGGCTCCTGCAGCCGGCCCCAGCTCTGCGTCTGCCGCTCCGGCTTCCGAGGAGCCCGCTGCGAAGAGGTCATTCCTGATGAGGAGTTCGACCCCCAGAACTCCAGGACAGCACCCCGACGCTGGGCTGAGCGTTTGCCCAACCTGCGCAGGAGCAGCCCGGCTGGAGAAAGCACCGTGGCCAGGACACAGCCACTGGCCCCACAGCCGCCAGTGGCCGGGTAAGTCCCCTCCACACTGGGAGCTCAGGGTCTGGGCTCAGTCTCTCTCTGGAGGGCTTCAGACTGTTTGGTGAAGGCCACAGTTGTCCGCCCCTCCCTCCTCCCCTCCCTCCTCCCCTTTCCCTGGGGGACAGAGGTGTGAGCAGGAGAGCTGGCAGGAGTGGAGAAGGGATGAGGGAGGGAAAGGTGCCTGGAAGAGAGCTGAGGAGGGCATGTCCCTGGGATCAGGGTCTCTTTGTTGGAATCTCAGGCTTTGCTACTTCCTAGGTGGTGACCTGGGCAAGTAACTTACCTCTTTGTGCCTCTGATTCCTCATCAGTAAGGTGGGGACAATGATAATACCTAGGTTATGGAATTGTTGTAAGGAGTCAATTAATTCATATAAGAAAGTGTTTAAAACAGGTGCCTGATACATAAAGAAGTTCTTTATAAAGGTCCCTCCCCTCCT